GTATATGTGATATATAGGTACTAAAGCTGGGGAAGGCTTAGGAGAGTATATTTTTGATGTTTTAGTGTCGGGAAAGAAAGACAAAAGCTTTAGGGAAGCAAGAACATTACACCGAACAAGAAATTKCAAGAAAAAATCTCCAAAATCCTTTTCTTTCTTCTTTCTAAAAATGCAATAGAAGCTTTGTGTAATTCCTGTGAAGAATTTTTAAAATTCGTCGGAGCAAGAACTCTCAGATCCAAAGAATTCCAAGGAAGAACTGTTCAGGTTGCGAAATCAACTGGCCTGGSCAGTCAGTTCCATATAATATGTTGATAGAATGCCTGCTCTCGGTTTCTCACCATTCGTTACTAAAATACGTGGCATCGTCATGGGTCGTTTACGATTTTTGCAGTGCGATTGTCGCGTGATAATCGCCACTTTGCTATCGCGCAACTAAAATCGTACGTGTAAACAGCAGCCCTGCGATTATTAGGGTGATGGAAAACCGCGAATTTCTTGCTAATATTTTCAAGCATGTTAGGAACTCAGGCGATGGGCCTTCACAGTGCATTGAGATTTGAGATTGAAACATGTTAATTTGTGTATACATATAGAGACTATGTTGCTCGGTTCGAAATATCGCAGGTGCACTCACTCGTGTAAACGAGGCATTTACAGGAAATGTTCCATGCTCTCTTTTACTTTTTTTTTTCACCAAAAAAAAAATGTCGTTCTTACGCTCGCGTCGAAAATCAAATTTCTACAAATGCTAACACGAGGAGTAGAAACATTACGGCTACCTGTCCAGGATTAKTTTCGCTGATTGGTTTCCTGGACTTTACAATAATATCGTTCCCCAACKTCCCGTCGATCAGTTTATTATTCTTACCACTAATTCCGTCTTCAAGTGATGGTCGATAGCAGTCTTTGTTTGGGTCGTATTTCGCTTCATCTACCGATWTTTTCCTGTTCCTGTGGGCTCTTCTTCGTTCTTGAATGCCCAAAGCATTTCCGTATCCAATAGTAAGCTTGGAGTAAAATACATTATTAGAATGAAGAACAATGTTTATTCGAAGCTTTTCTGAAAATTTACGACACGACTGATAAGATTGTGGCTCAATGGGGAT